GGGCCTTGCAGTCCAGTGGGAGGACATGCTGGCTGGCCGTGCTGTGTCCCGGCTCCCCTGCCTGGGCTGAGGGCGTCTCCACTTCTGCAGGCTGCGTCCCAAGAGGAGGGTTCCTGCCATTGGAGCAGAAGGGGGCTGTTCCAGTGTAGGGGCCCAGGTGCTGGGTGCGAGGAACAACGGGGTGTGTGTCCAGGGCATTCTCTGCTGTGAGCAAGGACTTGACATGCCACAAGATGTGCGTAATTGTCAGACTGTCTCTTACAAAATGCGCTTTGCTTTTTACAGAACCCTGTGCATCCCAGCTCAAGGTGGTCAGAGCTAGACCTTCTTATTCTGCTAGGGACGGCGGGCCACGTCTTGAGCCTGGGTGCCAGCAGCTTCGTGGAGGAGGAACACCAGACCTGGTACTTCCTTGTGAACACTTTGTGTCTAGCTCTGAGCCAAGAAACCTACAGAAACTGCTTTCTGGGAGATGACAGTGAGCCTCCATGTGGCCTCCGTGTGGAACAAGGGCTTGACGGGGCCACAGCAGCGTGGCGGGACGGGCCTGCCTGTGATGCGCTGGAGCGAGACAAAGGCCACAGAAGCCCCTCTGCCTCCCAAGTGCTCAGAGGCCACGAGAAGTGGATGGTGCTGGCCAGTCCGTGGCTGATACTGGCCTGCTGCCGGCTGCTGCGCTCTCTAAACCAGACAGGTGTGCAGTGGGCTCACCGGCCTGACCTTGGCCACTGGCTCACCAGGTGAGAGCATGGGCCTGTGGTCACAGCCCAGACTTTCTACAGCCAGTTGGTCACCTGCCAAGCTCTTCTTTTTCTAAATTGAGATCATTTTTCATATTAAGAATGGGATAGTATTTTGAGATCTGAAGAACTGGGAAAATATACTAAAACCAGTGTTTTTACTAGATACTAGAATTAGTGTTGAGAGGTGAATTTATTTGGGGGCTGGCCTAATAGGTTTGATTTATTAGTGCCGAACCACTGTAACTGTTCGTGATTGAAACCTTGTGTTTCAATGATCACGATATAGTAAAGATGTCATTTGGGGGTCAGGCTTGCTAATGGCTTGTTCTGGACGCCCCGTCCATGCCCAGGCTGTGTGCCCCCCGCCCATCACTCAGCGTCTCCCTGTGTCAGGCCATTCCTGCGTTGCTGTAAAGAAATACCTGAGGCCGGGTCACGTGTAAGGGAAGAGGTTCATCTTGGCTCTCAGCTCTGCAGGCTGCACAGGAGGGGTGGTGTTGGCATCTGCTCCTGGAGAGGCCTCAGGAATCTGGCAGTTATGGCGGAGGGCAAAGCAGGAGACAGCACTTCATGTGGCGAGAGCAGGAGCAAGAGAGGGATGGGGGAGGTGTCTGGTGCTTTTAAACACCAACTCTCTTGTGAACAGCCAGAGGGAGAATGTGCTCATTACTGCGAAGATGGCACCAAGCCATTCATGAGGGATCTGCCCCCATGACCCAGACGTCTCCCACCAGGCTCACTTCCAACCCTGGAGGTCCAGTGTCTTTTTTTTTTGAAACAGAGTTTCAGTCTCACCCATGCTGGAGTGCAGTGGCACAATCTCGGCTCACTGCAACCTCTGCCCCCCGGTTCAAGAGATTCTCCTGTCTCGGCCCCTGAGTAGCTGGGATTACAGGTGTCGCCACCATGCCTGGCTAATTTTTGTGTTTTTAGTGGAGACGGGGTGTCACCATGTTGGCTGGGCTGGTCTCGAACTGCTGAACTCAAGTGATCCACCCACCTCGGCCTCCCAAAGTGCTAGGATTACAGGTGTGAGCCACTGTGCCCAGCCTGAATGTCCAAGTTCAATGTGAGATTTGCAGTGGACAAACATCTAAGCCATGTCATTCCCCCAGACCCATATCCCACTGCCGATGATCCCCAGGGCAGCAGTAAGGATGGGGTCAGCCAGGCAAAGTGGGTGCAGCGTCTGTGGGTCAGCTTTGTCCTTAGCTCCCCTCCTTTCTCCTCTCCATCCTCCCTTTTCTCTCTCCTCACCCTGAAGGGTGAGAGCCGTGTGGAGGAATTCAGCCACCTCCTGAGCCTTTCATTGGCAACTGGAAAACCGCCTAGAAAGTGTAGCAAATCATTTCAAGCAAGGCTCAAAATAAGTGTAAGAAACTAGGACAGAAAAATAATTAAGATTTGTCTAGACTTTAAATTTTAATTATCTGGCAGTGAAGACTTAGGAAGCTAAAGTAACAGAAGAACAGCAAAATGAAACAGTATCTGTGATGAGAGTAACAGGCACGGGCTGTGGTCTCATCACTGCAGAGAACTCCGATAAGAAATGCCAGCAGAAGGAAAAGAGAAATGCCCAGTCCTAGTAACGAAGGTACTTCCAGTTAAATGACAGGGTGTGACTTCATACCTGCTGAGGCAGAGAAACAGAACTGAATGACGAGACTCAGTCTTGGTGAGCATGTGAGGATTCCTGGGGCCACGTTAGTGTCACGGTTCTTTTGGAAGATACTTGTAAATTTACATCAGAAGCTGCGAAATTACAGATTCTTCTGATTAAGTAATTCTTGTGGGAGGCTAAGCATTAACTAAATTACTAAAACCTTGGTAACCAAAGTCATCACAGATCGGGTCCTTCAGGTAATCTGCCTGCCGTGTGCCCACACGTTTCCTTTCCAGAGCAACCCCGGAGAGAGGACTTGGGTTGGTCCCTGCTCCGGAGGTGAGGAAGCGGAGGGGGAACGGGCTGACGGGAGGTTGTGCTGGGCACGCCAGCTTCAGGGTCGGATCCCAGGCATGTAGAGCAGAGTGTGTCACGGAGCTCCGTGTCCCGGAATAGCACTGTGACACCTTGTTCCTGACTTTCCTGGAAAGTTAAAGCATTAGGAGAGAACTGGCTGGCTTTCCACCCCACATGCAAGAGCCATCCCCCACCGCATTATCCGCAGTTTTGCTTACTCGAGGTCAACTGTTGTCTGAAAATATTACAGTATTTTGAGACAGCGCACATTCATATAATTTCTGACAGTAACATTACATTGTTATAATTGTTCTACTTTATTATTGTAACAGTCCTGAAGATTGTGTAAAAACACGTGCCATTTTAAAAGTAACAATACAAAAAAACCCAGGTGCCCCTTCCTGGGGTGAGGCCCAGGCCCCTGTGTGGCCCCAGTCTCCCCCTCCCATCCTGGGAGGCTTTGAAGTGAGAGCTGCCGTGAAAGAAACAGAAGGGAGCCCGGCCGTCACCGCCTCACGCTCAGGCCAGGGCTGGCTGGTGCTGCACCACTGCAGTGCGGTCAGGACTTCGGGCTCTGCTCTCTGACGAGCTGTCAACCTCTGCACCATCTCCTCACCCAGGAGCAGGTGACGGCAGACCCTGTGAGAAGCCATGTGGGTCTAGGGACATATCGTGCGTTACTGAGTTAATGGGAGAAGGTGGGAGGAGGAGGTGAGCTGGTAGATGCAGGCCTGCTCCCGAGAGGGTACCAGGGAACAAGAGGACTCTTTATATATTTGTCACCACCTGGCCTCTGGGCATCCAGATCTGATGATGGGAAACCTATTTGTGAATGAGAAGTGAGAGTTCAAGTTGACTGTCTTTTTTTTTTTTTTTTTTTAAATAAAATGAGGTCTCACCATGTGGCCCAGGCTGGTCTCAAACTCCTGGCCTCAAGCGATCCTTACGCCTGGGCATCCTAAAGTGCTGGATTGCAGGCGTGAGCCACCACGCCCCACTGAGGTTGACCGTCTTTTATTTGTTACACTTTAAGAACCTTCGTTTGAGAATAAAAACCAACAATTTCATGTAATCTTTGGTTTTTGGGAAAATCAGCTATTTTTTAATACAGTTCTTTGAAAGCCACTCGGTGTAGATTGATCTCATCGCTGTTTGTTTGCTGTAATGCTGGCATTCTCCATCTCATTTCAGCTCTGATCACAAAGCCGAGCTCTCTGTCCTGGCTGCCATCTCCCTCCTCGTAGTTTTTGTGCTGGTGCAGAGGGGATGCTCCTCTGTGTCCAAGGCTGCCCTGGCGCTGGGGCTGCTGGGCGTCTACTGCTACCGGGCAGCCATCGGGAGTGTCCGGTTCCCGTGGCGGCCGGACAGCAAGGACATTTCCAAGTAAGTTAAGTGCGTGGCAGACATGGGGCGCATAGAACCACTTCACTCTTTGATGGACTGAGAAGACCCTGCCAGTCTTCACAGCACTGGAGTTTGGTGTTTGTGAATTGGGATTGTGTCAACAGCTGCTGGAGTGTAACTAAGAAAACCCCCCAGCCCCGTTGTTAGCACTTTTTATGTTTTATGTGTTACTTTTAGAAGAGAAATCACTTGGAAGTAAGATTTTTTTTAATTTAAAATGAAACCTTGAGGGTGTGTGATGGGACAGACAGATGAGTATGAATCGGTTTCTGAGTGAGTGGCAGCACGTGATGACCAGGGTTCTGTTTTCCTAGTCAGGGTGTAATTGGCGACGAGGATGACAAGTGGATGTTTCCCAGCGGTTGGGAGATGAAGCTTGCTGGAAAATCACACTGTCCTCATAATTTACAACGAGCCCCCGTGAGGGGCCAGGAGCTCCTGCCGATCGGTGGGAGGGCTCAGTCAGGAGGACCGTTTTCTTCGTGTCAAGGCAGCCGTGTTTCTGATTTTAACGGTGTGGTGGTGAAGCAGGCTCCTTCTCATCCTCAGGAGTGGGATGAGCAGAGGCCGTTCTGGAGGGCAGCTTGTAACGTGTGGGTGACCCTCTATTTAAATTTATATAGCTGACTCTATTTCAATTTACCTCAAAAATATAAGCAGAGGCAGGAGCCTGGGATGGGACAGAGGCACGCCCACTGAAGTGTCCTTCACACTTGCAAAAGGGAACCACCAGGGTAATTATCCAGCAACAATAAGTGATCCTCTCAGTGCGGTCAGTGCTCTGTAAAGGAGTCTTCTGGTTGTTAGGCAGCCTGTTTGCGCAGAACAGAGAAGCATGTTGTGGAACAGTGGGCTGTAAAACGCTGGTATGACCCCAGCTTACTAAGTGTGTACCTGTTTTTTTTTTTTCATACTTAATATGAAAGACTACATACTTAAAATACTGATGATTATATTTAGGACCCAAAATCATAGATTGTGGTCCTGCTTTTTACTTATTTTTGTATCTTAGCAATGTCTACAGTTAACAAGTGTTGCTTTTCTAATCAGAGCAAAGGTCCAGGTGACTGCTAAGGGCTGTGGCCAGTCTGAGGAGTGGCCGTGGGGCTCCGGGGCACTCCTGGAAATACCTCCTGGCTGAGTGGGGAGTAAGGGGTGGGGGTTAGGGTGAGCTGAGGCCTGGCTGAGGCAGTGGCAGTGTAGCAGACCCTCAGTGTGGAGAGGATGCTGACGGGCAGGTACCAGCAGTGTTCTGTGGAGATGTCTCAAAGACTGTTGACTTTGGAATCTGAGACTTTGGGCTCATCCAAATGGATGTTACATTTGGGGGTGTGTGTTTAGGATGCAGTGCGTGAATAAATTCGTTTCCTCGCAGATCTGTGCACTGAATTTCAGCATCACTCATCTGAAGACCTTGGCCCTCTTCCCTTCCCTGGCCTGCTTCCTGCAGCATGTAATTTGCTAGTGTCCAGAACTAGCCAGTGTGCCTTTTCTTTCCACACGCACTGCCTGGTTCACCTTCTTCCTGTAAAGTGCTTCCGTCCTTTCTCCCCATCTGTCCCGATTGTAAATAGGTCCTGGCCGCAGACGCATCCTGGCTCTAGATCATTGTAACAGCTGCCTCTCTCCTGTCAGTCCCTCAGGCGTTGCCATCCACTGATAGTCTGAAATCCTTTGCACTCAGTTCCTGACTCTCCTCCACTCAGAAGCCTAGGGATGGCTGGAGTGGAGGTGGAAGTGGGGTGGGCCTGGATGAGCAGGATCAGGTGCTGCCTGGCCAGGGCAGGAGGTGGACCCACCAAAGGCCCCAGATGATGCCTGCATCTGCTCACCACCCTCCTGCTCACCAACCTCCTGCTCACCACCCTCCTGCTCACCACCCTCCTGCTCACCACCCTCCTGCCCTGGCGTCCTTTCTTGACACAGAAACCAGTCCCTTCTATGAAACTTCTCCAGTGATTGTGACCTTTGCTGATTTCTCCCTTCTTTGAATGCAGATGGACCTACAATTCACTCTCAGCTTGGCACACACCTTGACCTGTGGGGGTTGCCAGGTGTCTGACCCCAGCTCCTCAGCCAGGATGTGGGCCCCTCGTGTCAGCCACACTGCCAGGCACATGGTATACAGCGCTCAGGCTGTTTGAACTAAACTGATAGAAGTTTAATTTCTTAATGTACAAAACTTTCTAAGAAAATCTAATATAGGAAAATTCAGTTTTCACAATATTACGGTGATGTAAAAAATTTATGATTATTTTAAATGATCACCTTTTGCAGGATATATGAAGTATTTCATTTACAAAATTTATTTAAAATATTATGTTTTAGGAACATATGTATTTTGTAAGATGAAATTTTTTGGTAATTGTATCCTTTACAGATAACTATCATAAGAGTACTTAGTATTTACTGAGCTTACTGTGTGCCAAACACTCTCTGCATTGCCTTGCTTAATTCCGAGGATGACTTCGTGAAGTGTAGAACCATTTTCTCTCCATTTTACAAATAGCAAAGCTGAGGGTCAGAAGTCTTGATTGACACGCCCCGAGTCGGAGAGCTGGTGAGCAGCAGGGCCTGGGCTGAGCAGAGCTCTGCCTTTGTCCAGAGCCCGCGGGTTGGACGACTGCACCATTGCGTGCGTGTGCACCTGTAAACGTGCAGGTGCTTGTGTCCCCATAACTGCATGTGTGTGTACCTGTAAATGTGCAAATGCTTCTTTAAGTCTGCCCAGTTGTACAGTTAACGTTTATGAACTTACGGCAGTTTCTTAGAGGTGAATCTTATACCAGTGCATTGGGTTTTTTTTAATTGTGCAAAGCAGGTGGGCCACGAGGGCACCTTGGGTGCTGCCACCAGGTGATCCTTGGGCCAAATGAGCGAGATCTCCCTGAAGCCAACCCCAGCAGAAGAGTCTGCACGAGGGCACACCTGTGGGCCTTTGGCAGCGGCTCTCAGGGCTGCTGTGCGGAGACATGCCCTCCGCCGTGGTGGGACCTGGGGGGTAGGGAGGGTGCCGCGGCTCCTTTAGCCAGCAGTGCTGGGACATTTACTGGTTCCCTAGGCAGATAGGTGTGTTTTTCATGGGAAATGTTTTTGAATTTTTCTCACTGGTGCTAATGAATCTAACTTGTTTTGCTTTTTTTTAGGGGTATTATTGAAGCTCGTTTTGTTTATGTCTTTGTCCTTGGCATTCTGTTCACGGGCACCAAAGACTTACTTAAATCTCAAGTCATTGCTGCAGACTTCCAACTCAAGACTGTAGGTTTATGGGAGATACATAGTGGATTAGTTCTTCTGGCAGCCTTGCTCTTTAGACCACATAATCTTCCGGTCTTAGCATTTAGTCTCTTGATTCAGACTCTCATGACTAAGTTCATCTGGAAGCCCCTGAGGCACGATGCAGCTGAGATTACTGTGATGCATTATTGGTTTGGGCAAGCCTTCTTCTATTTTCAGGTAGGTTTTCATTATTATCATGGGTAGAAGACTTCACTTTTTACATATTTATTTTGTATTTTTCTTTGAGAAAATTTTACCAGGCGTTGGAAAGTTACAATGTTTGTTTAGCGAAAGAACTGTCAGTATGGCATGGTGAATGATGCTGAACTCTCGGGTGTATTTTGTAAGATAAAGTACAGCCGGTCGTTTAAGACAGACGTCCCAGGTGTGGATGTGTGGGTGCTTAAGACAGCGGATTGCTGCTCTGCCGGGCCAGGCCTGGGTTTATTTATTACAAGCAGTTCAGGAAGCACAGACATCCCGTTGTTCACGTGCTTCCTTGATGGATGTAATACTTGTTCTCGTTCATGCCCTTTGCCCCTGGTGTCTGGGCTGTCCACACTGGGGGCCATTTGTTCCCCCCAATTGTTAGCTCCCTGAGGCCTGGTGGGTCACAAGGGCTTCTGTCCAGTGTAAAGACCCATCTCAGACAAGCCCAAACCACCTCAGTTATGAAGAGACATAGATGGACAGGTAGACGGGGCCTCAGAGGGATCCAGCCTCATCCAGCCTCCCGACAACCTCAGGAGAGCGGGCACAGGCCTGCTGGTTCCCTTCCAGCCCCGACTCCCAGGCTGAGTCACTTTGCACCAGCTGAGCATCGTGGTTCCATTTTTGTCTTTACCGTGAGGTCTGTATTTTCTTGGTGTGCACCGCTGTCTGCCTCTCCGCTGTCTCATCCCAGGAGGCTGTGCAGTTCTTTGTGTCCCGACAGGGCCTCTCCTCCATCCTCTCCTCCTTTCCGGGTGTTCCCAGCCTTTCCCGTGGAACAGCCCACAGTTGCAGGATTTTCTGTCTGTATGTCTGTCCCTCTGATCCTGAAGCCCAAAGGAGGGGTAGGCGTGACGTTACAGAAGTCTGTGTCTTCAGGTACAATGAGTAGGTGGCCAGTGGCTAGTGGCCAGCTTCTTAGCCCCGTCCTAGTGCTTCCCCGACCCTTCTGACCCACTCAGGCCCCTGCAGGTTTCCCTGCCATGTCCACACAAGGCACAAGGGTGTCCCCAGCAGAACTGCAGGCCTGGATGCTGGTGTCCAGCACGTTCAAGCCAGGTGGCCTCCAGCAGGCTCTTGTCACACCTTCATTTCCTTATCTGTAAACCGGGGATAGTGGTCTCCCGGCCTCCCCAGGAGCCAGCCCTCCCTGGTCTCCCCCCTCTCCCCACGGCTCCTGTTTTGAGGCTGAGTCCGCTGCCCCTTAATGTTAGATCTCCTTTGGGAGGAACCTGTGGCTTTGCTGCCCATCCCTGATTCCTGCCCTCAACTGGGCAGTTCCTTAACAGACCAGGGATCAGGAATGTGACTGCCCTTGCTCATCTGCTGGCCCTCCACGTTCACCCAGTCCCCGGGTCTCTCTGCCTCCGTTTCCTCCCTGTTTGATGAGGATAATTACGAAGCACGTCAGGACTGTTGGCTTAAATGAAGTCATGCAGGTAAAGCTGCTGTGCAGCTACGGACATGTCAGCGTGGCTGGCAGTCTCTGTGCCTGGCTGAGCCTGCTCAGAGCCACAGTGGCCTCCCAGGTGTCCTCCTCCCCTGCTCCCATCGTGGCATCTGGGACTCTGTCCCTCTGCCGCCCTCCAGGGTCTCCTGCTGCTTCTGCCTGTTTGCTGTCTCCTCAGTCTCCCTGCAGAAGGACTTCCAAGCAGAGGAGTCACATGACTGGGGAGGTGCCTTCCAAGAGAGGCGGTAGCCGCGAGTCCAGTGGGTCTCAGGGGAAGCCAAATGGAAGGGCTGGGGCCTATGACAACAGGGATAGGAGTCAACGCACATCTGTGAGATACTGAGGAAGCAGCATCAACATGACGTGGGGACCCCCTGGGCCCACAGTTGTCTGCATGGAAAGGGAGGAAGGAGTCAAGCTGGTAAACACCCAGCCAGTGTTTTGTGGACATGAACAGTTCTGATTCTGGAGAGGGATCTTTGTTGGGCTTGGGGTCATTGGGCTTGATAGAGATATGTGCTGTCAGACTGTAGATGTCATGAGTTTCTGAGGAAAGGTCAGCATGACAGGCAAGTGACAGACATCAGAGTCAGTAAAGATGGAGCGTGGAGAGGCAGGGCCTGGGAGCAGAGAGGAGGGGCCTAGTAGTGGTAGGTTGTACTCTTGGAGTGGAGAGGCGGGGCCTGGGAGCAGAGAAGCAGGGCCTAGGAATGGAGAGGTGGGGCCTAGGAGTGAGTAGAGAGGCGGGGCCTGGGAGTGGAGAGGAGGGGCCTAGGAATGGAGAGGTGGGGCCTAGGAGGGAAGGGTGTGGAGTTGGAATGGAGAGGCGGGGCCTGGGAGTGGAGAGGCGGGGCCTGGGAGTGGAGAGGTGGGGCCTAGGAGTGGAGAGGTGGGGCCTAGGAGTGAAAGGGTATGGTCTTGGAGTGAAGAGGCAGGGCCTAGGAGTGGAGAGGTGGGGCCTAGGAGTGGAGACGTGGGGCCTAGGAGTGGAAGGGTGTGGTCTTAAGAGTGGAGAGGCAGGGCCTGGGAGTGGAGAGGAGGGGCCTAGGAGTGGAGAGGTGGGGCCTAGGAGCGGAAAGGTGTGGTCTTAGAGTGGTGAGGCAGGGCCTGGGAGAGGAGGGGCCTAGGAGTGGAAGGATGTGGTCTTGGAGTGGAGAGGAGGGGCCTAGGAATGGAGAGGTGGGGCCTAGGAGTGGAAAGGTGTGGTCTTAGAGTGGTGAGGCAGGGCCTGGGAGAGGAGGGGCCTAGGAGTGGAAGGATGTGGTCTTGGAGTGGAGAGGAGGGGCCTAGGAATGGAGAGGTGGGGCCTAGGAGTGGAGGCGGGTTCTTGGAGTGGAGAGGCGGGGCCTGGGACCAGAGAGGCAGGGTCTCTCAGAAGACCTCTTTTTGGGATCCAGAATCACTAGGAGCAGGGTAAGCTGTGTGGCATCAGCCCTTGCATCCTGCAGAGAGTTACCTACCAGGGCTGGGCCGGGACTGGCCAGAATCTTGACAGATGAAGTTTGACGAGACCAAGTGAGTCCTCATGGTCTGATACGTAAACCAGATGTGAGTTACCAATTTGTACCAGGGGCTGTGCTCCCCTGGCGACTGGCCTGCCCTCCTCCATGTAACCCACTCGCAGTGCCTCACCGTAGATGGCGCCTGGCTGGGTGCCCGTTCTAGTCTTCAGCCCAATTCCCCCCTTGGCTGGGCCCAGCATCTGTACCTCTCAGGGCCATATGCGCCCCCTCGGATGGGGGTCCTTGAGGGGAGGTCCATGTGCTTAAGAAAAGTCGCTGAGTCTGGACAAAGGTCTGAGATGTGCCGCAGTCAGCCAGCCAGTCTGTGTATGTCCTTCCTCAGAGGGGGCCACAGCTTCTGCACGGACGGCTCATGTGCCCCTCCACAGCCTGGGCACTGCAAGCGGGGGAGGGGGTGCCACCCAGGCAAGGCCAGCTCAGCGGTCTGAAGGAATGCCTGGGCAGCCACCTCTGACCACACGTGTGTCTGTGCTGGCATGGTTATCTGGGCTGTGTACACGTTTCACGCTAACATCATGGCTGTTGATGCCACGTGTTGTGAGGCCTTAGTCAGCTCTTCTCCTGTATTCCAGGGCAACTCCAACAACATTGCCACCGTGGACATCTCCGCAGGCTTCGTGGGTTTAGACACCTACGTGGAAATCCCAGCCGTGCTCCTGACAGCGTTTGGGACGTATGCAGGGCCTGTGCTCTGGGCCAGCCACTTGGTGCACTTCCTGAGCTCAGAAACACGCAGGTGAGGTGCCCCTCTGCCGTTCAGCACAGTTCTGGGGGCCGGCTGCCTGGTTTTAAGGGTCATACTTTGTTCCATATGCAAGGGGGTCTGAGCTCCATGGATCCAACAGTCTTTTCAACAGTTTTCTTTTCCTTAAATAAGCAACAGTCCGAAAGCTCAAGGGCCAGAGGCCAGCCTGGGCGGTCCGTGTAGGGCCAGGGTCGGGTCTGACGGGGTCTCACTGGGCTCCCCGGGGTCGGGTCTGATGGGGTCTCGCTGGGCTCCCCAGGGTCGGGTCTGATGGGGTCTCGCTGGGCTCCCCA